TGCCATCCCTCTTATTAAGAAGTTTTCCGGAGGCTTTGGTGGTGCCTCCTTGACGCAATTTAAATCTCTGTTTATTTCTGCTGTTGGTGGTGTCTCTTCTAGTTCCTAGTATTGCAGTGACCAAACCAAATGCAGTACTACAGCTCAGAACCTCTGCTGAAGGCAGTCTAAGCTCTTGCACTTTTTTTTGTATATCCCAGTATAATTGCATTTTTTTGGCAATGACAGAATATTGTAGGCTGATTTCAGCTCGTGACTCCCTAGCTCCACCATAGAAGTGCCACTTAATCTGCTGTTCCCCATTCTAAATATGATCTGTTGATTATTCCTGATGAAGTGTAGCACCTTGTTCCCATCTTTCTGAAATTTTGTTCTGTTTTTAGACCCCTTTTTTCAGCTTGTCTGTATGATTTAGAATTCTAGTGTTCTCCCCCAGCATCGCTTATAACCTCCCAGGCTGACGTTACGTCTTAAATAACCGCTTTGCTTATTATCCAGCTGACTAATGAAATGCCGAATAACCCTTGACCTAAGTAAGTCTCTGCAGACCCGATGTGATATATCTTTCCATGGCGACAGTGACCCATTTCTAAGTCTCGGCAGAGACCCAGCCAGTTTTGCTGGCCTCAGAGCAGTTTCCTTAGTTTGCTTCTGACAACGCTGTGTTACACAGCATCATAAATCTTCCTGAAGTTGATTAAATTTGGCTTTTCCCTACCTGCAAGGCCTCTTACCGTGTCACAGAAGGAAACTAAACTGGTTTGACTTGATTCTTGACAAATACCTCTTATTTGCAACTCCACTTCTTGTTTCCTCATGCTTACAAACTGTCAGTGGGATTATTACTTCTAAAACATTCCCAGAGGTTGATGGGAAACTGGTTTGTGTGTCATTTTCCAGTTTCTCTTCCCCCTTTTAAAGATAGTCACTGCATTTTCCACAGCTGGTATAACTCACATCTTCCTTGAGCTCTCAGCTATAATTGCTAAAGGTGATTGTTTTAGTTTCTTCTTTAAATACCCTGAGGTAGGTCTAGTGATAGCCCTGAGTAAGAGACCTCTAGGCAGATTGAAACCCTGAAAAGTGACCTGGCACAAACCTACAAGCCTATATAACCAAAGCAAATTTCTGCTGAATGTTCTTACCTAAAACATGTTTACTGGCATTAGTTGTGTTAGCCTCCTGCTCACTAGTTCACCTTACTTTAGTTGGTAGATAAACTAGATGCTAAGCCCTCTATCACTTTCTAGACATCAACTTGATTAACTGTCCTGGTTTCAGCTGGGATACGGTTAATTATTTTTTTTCTAGTGGTTGCTGTGTTTCAGATTTTGTATGAAAAGAATGTCAATAATGCACATTGTTTTAGTTGTTGCCAGGTGATGTTTATATTAATTAAGGACTTTTTTCAGCATCCCATAGAAGCTGATAAGGAGCATAGATAGAAAGATGGAATGGCCAATGGAATATTCCATACCATAGACGTCAAGCTCAGTATACAAATGGGGTTAGCCGGGGGGGCAGGGGGTACACTGCTCAGGATGGTGCCATTTCGCCAATTTACCAGGTGGTGTGAGTGACTTGTGTCTTGTATATTCTTTCACTGTTGTTATTATTGTTATTTTTCCTTTTCTGTTATTGTTCTATTAAACCGTCTTTATCTCAACCCATGAGTTATTTTCTCTTCACCCTCCTTTTCTCCCTCTTCTTCCTGCCCTTCTGGGGGAAGGGGAAGAACTGCGCGAGTGACTGCATGGTCCTAGCTGCCAGCTCGGGTTAAACCACAACATTAACTTTCCCCTTCAGCTGAACAGAGAACAAATTCTTCACTTGGTTTTTGTCCTCCTTACTGCCCATGTGTTTAAAGAATGCTTTCTTGCTATTCTTCATGTTTCTCACTATTTACATCTGGTTTTGCTTCTTGGCCTTTCTGGGGTTGTGCCTATATTCTCTTGCCACTCTATTATTCAAGTAATAGTAACCAGACACAGATTCTTCTGTCTTTGTGCTTTCTTCTTCTGTTTGAGTTCAACAAAGGGCTTATGGCCATGTTAGCGGGCAATGATTTAGCATTTCACATTAGACTGGGATTAAGCACCGCTATTTTCCATGTGTACCCATGACTATAATAATGGAGTTGCAAAAATAGAACCTTTGCCTGCACCTTCCTTTTATGCACACATATTTAACTTCGGCATTTAATGCTAGTGAATTTAACTAGGTATATATATTTTCTTCCTCCAGTGCAAAGGTGTAAATTTCAATACCTGTAACACTTAGGCATCAGTAAGAGATTTTCTGAGGGAGCTACCAGAGTTCTATCCTCACTAATCATTTTCCCAATAAATGTCTGGATGTTTCTGATTATTTTGGAGGAAACTCTTTGTTAGCAAATGATAATTAGGTATGGATTCTCTGCAGAAAAAGAAAACAAAGTGTAAAGATTTCCAACACCCTTCTGGGATTCACTATGACATTCTTCAGACAGCAAATGGACTCCTATGAATCTCTTGGAATTTTCTCATCCTTCAAAATAAATTAAGTACTGGTATCCTAGTGGTCATAGTGGTAGGCAATACTGAATGAAATAGCAAAGCAAGTCATGCAAGTGCTTTCATGCTTCTCTCTTCTTCAGCTTTGCCGGAGGTGACAGAATAACACAGACTTCTGGAACTTCTCCATGCAGACTGGCTCCTGTTCCCTGTGAATTGAGAACTGCATCTTGGAGCACATGGTTCTGTTAGCAAGAAGAGTCATAAACTTTTTTCACGCTTCTTAAAGAAGGTGGCATTTGATGCAAAAATTGACCTGACTCTGCAAGTGCAATGTCTTATTGCTTTACATTGGCACCAAACAATTAACAAAACAAAAAAAGGACAATATTTTAAGCTTAGTAGTATGCTGTAGCACAGAAATAACATCTTCCACCCCATTAGATGGTGGATAGGGAGTGCCCTACTGCAAATCCCCCCCACTGTCACAAGTGGGAACAGGTTCAATGGTGGTGTACTGTCTGGATGGCAGTAATCCAATTCAGCAAGGACTCCTTCTGTGGTGCTATCACAGTGTTAAGTCTGGATGGTGGGTGGTTGAGCAGTCAGAAACCAAGACAAAGGCAGTCCATCCTCTCACAGTTAAGATTTAGCGGATGCATATAAAACTATGCAAAACTTTGCTTGTGATCCTAATAACAAGATATGACGAAATCATGTGTAGGCATCCTTGGAGTCCTGGCATTCTGGGAATGACATATTTCAGGACGTTCAGTTTCTCTTTCTTACAAATTTTCCCAAGTTCTCTGCTCTGATTCCCTTTGATACTTTGTGCAGTTGTTTAAGATGGGTAACGCCCTGGCTTATTTCTGTGGTTGCCCTTCCTCCCTGAGATGTCAAATTCATTTCCTTACCTCACTGTGGGTTGTACTGCTTGTTCTGCCTACCTACTGAAAAGACCAAGCAATTATGAAAAAGATTTTACAAAATAGTTACAATTTTAGAACCTTGAAATAACATTAGAGCAAACAGTGCTTTCCACCTTATTGCATCTGTATTGCATCGGTAGGCAATTCCTCTCTGTCCTTTTGTTGAAGATCATATATGAAAAGTATGATATGGCCATGGGACCATAATGAGGCTATGCGCAAGAAACACATATGCCAGGGTGAATGAAAGTGTAAGATTTGGATTTTGTGCCAGAATTTCCATTTGGTGTTATTTAAAACTGTAGATCAGGGCTAGACTATGCGACCAGCCCTAGATGAGTGTGTAGTCAAACTGTACAATGTTGTTCCACTATATCCTGGGTCTTATGGAGCTGCTCCTTTAACAGGCATCCGAGGCCTGTGAAGAGACAAACAATGTTATATTGGGTTATCTCACACAACGTCACTTCAGGCATCCGACTTCAGAGCTTGGATTAGGAGTCTTGTCTTCTTATAAATTCAGCAGAGGCATTTTGATGCACACATGTGCCCTGACTCACCTTATGAAGACCTCATTGACCAAGACCTTCACTTGGACCTTCCATGCAAGGGAAGTTGAGTTTCAGTTGCATTTTGGGCTAAAAGTTTGCTCAATGTGTCATTCCTGTAGGAACTGCTTCCACTACTCTGGGCTGCCCCCCTGCAAAAGTCCTCTCTTGCATGCACAAGGCAATTCCACTTTGCCAGAAAGTGCCAGATTTTGGCTGGGCTGTTCTCAAGTTTACCTAGTGTGATGCTGGGCAGGATGCACATTCCTGGTTGGTTTATGTGCCAATGTTTCGGTTGTCCACAAGGCTTCATTTTCAGTGCAGTTAAGTGAAGCCCATAAGAGTCTTCCCCAGAGCCCAGAGTGCCATCAGCAGGCCCTGGATCCTTATTTTTCCAAGCTAACTTCCAAGGTTTCTTCTCATTTGAAACCTCCCAGAACAAAATCTCACTTTAAGTGAGTTACAACTAAAGCGAGGGATGGGAGCTGCACATTTCAGCACAGTCCCTTTGGGAATAAAAGCAAACAAACACAAAAATTGCCTAAGACCCTTTCACGTGGGTGGCAGCAGCCAGTGTTCACCAAGGAGAGGACACGGCCTTTGGGGAGCAGAGGCAGAGGACGACAAGTACAGCAGCAACCATCAACCACATTGTGGTCCCTTTAAATCTTCTTCTCCATTTGGCAGCTCCAATTTTTCAGTGTTGCTATAGCAAATCTCCATGGCAATGACCCTAATCGGGGAAGGGGGGATGCAGGGGGGACGCATGCTCAGAGTGGCTGCTGGAGCCTCGCCTGCTCGCTACAGCTGCTCCAAGGGTCTGACACACAGGCGAACAGAAAGATCAGGTACTTGGCAAACTGGTCCTTGGGGTACATCGCAAGCCCGTGGCGTGTCACTGCAGCGATGTGTGCATGTGGGTTTGCGTGGACATGCGGGTCTGTGCTTATCATGACTTCTCCACTCCTTCGTGGGGAGCGTGCTGGGAGCAAACTGCTGATTTTCGCTATTTCTCCTCATTTCAGGCAGGGAAGAAAGCTTGAATTATTGATGAGAGTAATGGCGTTGCCGTCTGTCTGGAGCGTGATGCGTGTGGCGATCCCGTTCATCTCGGTGGTTGGCCTGCTAAGCGTGAGGCTTGTGGGGGCCAGCCAGGAGTCTGGGAGTGTCATTCCTGCAGAAAGTAGGTACCTGCCGTGCTGCACTCATGCCCTCCCGCTGCACCACGTCCTGCTTTGTTTCCACCACTTAACCCACAGCAGCCACACAGACCTTAAGCTCCAGGGGGAACGCTGAATTGCCTGATTAGCAAGGGGGTAACGATGAATTTGTAATGTGTCAGCAAAGCACATGAAAACAGCACTTATAAAAAGAGCAAGCAAGCAAAGGATTAGTAGTTATTTAGGAAGAAATACTAACTGAATGCTATAATTTTAATTGGAGCTTGTTTTAAAGCTCTTTGGTTGTAGGTCTTTTAGATCTGCTCCTTGAGAGTTTCGTTTCCAGATTTGCTGCAGTACATATGAAGTCCTTGCTAGTCTGGATATTGTTAGAAAGAAATTTGTGTTTATTTCTGCTAGGGCATTACTTTTTGCGTGTTTCAGTATTTGGTTGGAACAATAGCTCAAGTTCAATTTCTTGTAACTGCTATAGATTGACACAGTGGAAGCTGACTCAAACAATATATTTGTAAAGCATATATAGATTTCTGAAATCCTGCTGCTTTTCTGCAAACCTAAAAAATAAATGAATAGGACAGACTGCCTTGAGCACACCGTGGAGCTGGGAGCTCTTGAATTTGGATCACAGTTCTACATAAGCTTCCTCTGTCATTTTCAGCAAGTCTCTAGTTAAAACTTCTCTGCTCCAAAATGAGGCAATACTTCAAAGACATTAGGGGATGGAGTCAATGTTCTCAGGGTGTTTTGGTGATGGCAAATGGCAAGTAGCCACTCATTAAAAACTTAAAATATCCTCTGGGAGAAAAAAAAAGAAAGGAAAATAATTGCATACAAACCAATCTGTACTTCTTAGCCATGCTTACTTTGTATGACAGCTATCTTTTTACATGACTACCAAAATATTTAGCACAAGACCTGATTTAGTCACTCCATTTTGTTCTCCTATAATTCCATTACTAGTTTTCAAATACACCTATGTGTATTTGTCTCTATAGGACTTAAATAGTGAATTCCCTTCCCTTTCCATTCTCTTCTTTTTTTTTAATTAGTGCTAGGTTTCGGTCTGTTCTAAAACAGACCTCATCTATATTTTGTGTGTCTGTTTTCTAGGTATGCATTAATTAAGTTTTAATTAAATAAGTTTTGTGGCAAGTAGTCCATTTTGTATCCTCAAGGAGAAAATCATGCTTGAAAAAAATAAATTGTATGTGCCTTTTGTGTGTATATGTTAGCAGACGCAAGTCAACACATTTTTGGGAAAAAGGATATGGTGATTCCTTGTTCTGCTTATGTAGTGAAAACTCCCATTTTATCTATAGAACAAAACTCTTGGCCAGTGTCTCTGACCCCAACCTCAGGGAGTTTTCTCATGGTTTTGATATCCTGTGGCCAGGCTACTGAGTCCCCCGAAGAGCCCTTGAGAAAGATTCTTTGTCTTGTCTTACTCCTGCATGTGAGAGTGAGGAATGAAGGATAGTTCAGAGTTTTTCTGTGTCCAGTGTTTCTGCAGAGACATGCTGGTCTGTCCTGAGTAAGGGAGGCTGGTAACACTGATATGTATACATAATAGCATTTATGTCTGAGGCCAGGCCAGGAGGAAGACTCTCAGCTGATCATGAATTGTAAATCACTTTGTGTTGCTGCAGAGTTTTAAAGGAACAAGGAACTCAGGATGCTCCTAATCAGCCACTTGTTGAGAGAGGTGAATAGCTGCTAAGTGCTACAGGTACCCTCCTTTGCCCATCAGGGCTCTTCCTGATGGTTAACTTGTGGAGCTCTTCCCTTAGGACACTGTCAATGCTAAAAGTTTGCATGGGATTGCAGAACTGATTGGGTAAATTAAAGGAAAAACTCTTAGAAAAGGCTGTTAGATACAGCAGCAGTTCTTCTGGCTCAGGAGCTGCCTCAGCATATTCCTGAGGCCTGGGAGGGTCTTTGGGGATACATCTCTCCATACTTGCCCTGTTCTTGTGCTCTTTTATGGGCATCCATTGTTGTCCATGAAGGTCACATCTATAACCAGTGCCCACGGATGTTCCCTGGCACGGGGACATGGCTGCACTATTAACCTGCTAGGATGGTACCTGGCACACTTTTGTCCATGACAGTAGGCCACTTGCCTATCTGGAAGCTAGAGTTTACTGTTCCAGAGATGAGCTGTCCCGTGCCAGCTGCTCTTAAAGCTTGGGAATGCTCCTAGACACATTTAATGTACTACAAGAGATGTAGCTCATGGGAGATAGAACACTGGGCCAGACAGACCTTTGATGTGATCTAGTGCAGACATTCCTGGATCTTTTCCTGCTTGATGTCAGCTCCACTGGCTATTTCTCGTCAAGGACTTGATCCTCCTGTGTACTGACCCATTTTGAGGGGCAGTGCTACTGCAGGACATGCACACACCGTCCCTGTTGCTGGCACTTAAGTCCATACTGTCAGCCCAGGCAAAATGGCGGCTCTGTGATCCTGGATGACCCAGGGAGAAAAAGAGGACAGGGATATACGCTGTACATGGACCATACTAAGTGTCCTGCAGGCCAGACTGGTGTGGTGCTCAATGCTTTTTTCTGTTCCCAGGTGTGTGACATAGGACTGGGAACATGCCTTTAGCAGAAACAATCCCTCACGGACCGCACAGCACTACAACCTCTCTCTCCCACTTGGTGGGAGAAATATGTCCCTCCTGCAGCACCACGAGCGGGAGAGGGGCAGCAATGCTCTCGTGCAGGTGTGGGAGGTGCAGGAGTCACAGGATAGAAGCGTGAGAGTGAGTCAGAGTTCTTCTTAGTGTTGCAGAGAGATCCTGCCCTGTGTGTGCCACCGATATCTGGCTTGGAGTACCATCACCTGCTCTCTACTTGGCATACTCCCTGCCAGCCAGACAGCCAGGCCCGGCTTTTTATGAATAATGCTAATTAGCAGTGATTAATCATGTCCTTATACTTACACAGCACTCTGCATATGCAAAAGACTGTTCAAGTATGAAGTGGTGTTACTAATGTTTGGGGATTATTTTCTTTAAAGTTCAGTGCAATCCACTAAAAAAATTAAGTAATTTCCTCAACCTCCCATTGCATTTATAGCCCAGATCACCCACTGTGAAAGCTGAAATGTGGAATTTGAAGAACAGAAGCTGGTCAGTCTGTTTTCATTAGCCAAGGTGCATGAAATACGAAGAGTAAACGCTATGTGTATGCGAGGGAAAGTAAATTAGATTTCCACAATGCTTTCAGTTCCAGTTTTTCACCAAGAAGCCAAGAAGCATATTTTAAGCTCTCCTCCCCCACTTCTCCCCAAACACACAAAGACACATACAGGCTTTGTGCTGACAGGACCCATTTAAAGAATTATAGCTGACTCTTGATAATTCTCATTATGTTAATCCACAAACCTGTTAAGTCTCCCTATGAATGATAGTCTGTTCCCAGCTGTCAGCAAGGAATTAATAGCACTCTGCTGTACTTTGCTATGATGTGACTTAAGGTTTGGTTTCACGATTGCTTTAAGCTAAGGTAAGCCTATGTTGCCTCTGGCCTTCTCCTCCCCACGACCTGGCCTCCTGTCCTTGCCTTATTTCTTCCTCTGGCTGCAGAATTTGGGCATTCAGGATCTGATCTGGAGAAAACAAATCAGTGATCCCGCTGACCAAGCAACTGCATGGTCACTCCTGCTGTGAGCAAGGGAAGGTGTGGGAACACGTAGCCAAGGACAGAAAGCAGGGTGGGGTTGCTCCTATTGGCAACAGCACGTATTTAGATTTGTTTAAAACCTTTGTGAAAACAGACTTTTAGATATCATTACTCTGGGGAAATGTCCCTGGGCATCCTACTGAAAATATTGTGAGCATGAAGAGAGAGTAAGCGCAGCTAGATAAGCCAGTTTACCAGCCCAGCACTTCAGTCTGAAAAGGAGACACCCAGGCAGGGGGGTGATGGAGAGCAGCAAAGTCATAAGTGGAACAAAGATGGTGAATATTTAATAACTGTCATTTCCAGTGCAAAAATTAGAGGCAGGAAATGAAAGCAGCAGATGCTAACTCCAGAGCAGACAGGAATAGTATTTTGTTCACGTAGTGAATAGCTGAGCTGTGGAACTCATTGCCACAGGATGCTGTAGATGCCAAAAGTTTACGTGGATTCAGGAAGCAATGGGGCAAATTAATGTGAGAAAAATTCATGGAGGCCTTATCAGATGTAGAAAAAACAGCCAGACTCAGGATATCCTCCAACCTCTTGGTAGGCTAGAAGAACATTGCTAGAGGTTTATTCTTATATTTTCCTGAAGTATCTGCTATTGGCTACTGTGAGAGTCTGTATAGTATAATAGATTAAAAGCCTGACTAGAGTCAGGGCTTGGGCAGCTCTGCTGGTAAAAATCCAACTGTAGCTATAGGCTTTCCAGGTAGTGGGGTATTGCCCCTATTTTATTTGTGAAACTGCTCTCAAGTTGCTCTGTGCTCATGTGAGATGCTTGACGGAGAGATCAGCACTGCCCTGGTTCACTCCCCAACATGCTGAACAGTTGTGTGCTCTGCAGGGCTGTATGGGTGGAAGAATTTATACCCAGCCACCCCCCAGCTGCTCATCACCTCCTCCCAGGTACAGCTGTCCTCTCATCTGCCAGTGATGCTGCTTCAGTGAGTCCTCTCTGCACCACTGGAGGTCAATATGATGTGTTCTATCCTGGCATATAGCTGGTTGTAGGAATCACACGAGCTCTCCCACTGCCAATGCTTCAGGGCTGCTAGCTCCCAGCAGGCAGGGGTGCTAACCTCACCCAGAGACACCTGTGCCTGGAGAAGGACCATCCACCAAGGAGGACAGCCCAGGAAACTATATTGGAGAGTGAATACCCCATTATGTAGTGAAACTGGCTGCATCTGCACTGTGGCTTTGAAGAGCAGTGCTGTGTTAGGAGCTTCACCTGTCCTTATCCAGGACACGCAGAGCTGCACAGGCATTTGTCCTCAGTGCCACCACTATTTTCCTGCAGAAGCTGCTTTGATGTCAGGGCAGCTGCTTTCACAGGGGTGGCAGAAATAACCACTCAGCATGGTTGTGCTGTTCCATTAGTACATCCCTGTCCAAATAGGAGCACTTGGCAGCCATAAATACCAGTGAATGATGCCACACAGCCATGGCCTTCATGAGGGCCTGGGAAGAATTCCTGGGTGGCAGGCAGTGATTGACTATGGAATTCATGGCTCTCCTTGAAGATGCTTGCTCCCCACTGCTGGAGCAGGAGACATTTGTTTATGACCTGTAGTTTGCTTTTTCTCCAACAAGTTCTGATTTTGAGAACACTTTAGTGGCAAGCACTTCACCATATGCAGCTCTTCACTGAGGTGGAGCCAGGGCAGAGTGCTTTCTAAATCACAGCAAGGGGAGGGAGCAGACCATGTCATCAAGTCAATGATGGATTTGCTGACAGAAGACTGAGGATACAGATTCTTTCTAAGGGCTCTGCTCCATGATCTGAAGTGAAAACAATTAAATTACTGAAATACTGAAATCAGGAGGGGGTTGAGTGTCTTTAAAATGTGCTCAAAACTGTCCTGTTGCTACTCCTCTCAGGCCTGGAGAGAGAGTCTTTGGGAGCGATGCTGTTCTTATAGAGGTGGGGACTTTGCATCTCCCCATATCCCTGGATCAATACCTGGATTGATCCCTGGGTCTCCCTGAGATGTCAGCTGCGTGGAGGGGAGATGGAAGAGGGGATGGGTGGGAGTGAGACACCTCCTGAACAGGTCAACGCCCCCGAGAGGCGTGCTGGGGCCCAAGAAGCACTCTGGCTGCTCCCTTCCATCAGGCTCAACTTGAAAGTGCGTGCTGGCAGCAGAGTGGCGCAGTCCTGCCTGGCAGGTCCCTGGCTCCGGGCAGCTCCCCACCTATCTCAGCAGCAGCTTTTCACCCTCTTTGCTTTGTCAGAGCGGCACAAGTGGCTGCCTGTAGACAAGGATTTCAGCACTCGCCTCAACATGGGGGCTCTGTGATCAATGTAAAATGTCATCTCTCCCCATTATCCCCTGCATCTCTTCCAGTATCTGCAATTTCTTCTGAAAACCCACACTTCATTACCTCTCTGACTGAACGAAAGGGCCCGAGACCAGTGCAGGATGAATCCTGGCAGAGCAGAAATGCCCAGGTCCAGAAGTCAGCCATCTGAGTTGTTGTGAAGTCCCCTCCTCCTCCTCTTGCTCTTCTCTGCCTTGCCCCCCTCTGCACACACACTGGCACCAGCTGCAGAGCCAGCGGGATGCTTTGCATTCCTGGCAGAGAAAAAATACAGCAGCAGGTGAAAGGAAGCAAATACAGATCTGGCACTGTCCCTTGCCAAGTTGCTCTGTAAGAGCTCCTGTAAAAACAGACCTGCCTGTCTGATTTCTGAACCACTGCAAACTGCTATTTTCAATGTTTCAGTTGGGAATGAACCCATGTCTGAGGAGGGCTGAGAATTTCTGTTTTAAGGGGAGAGGCTCGGGGCTGAAGGCACGCAGCACCAGGCTTAGTCAAGCCTGGGCTATGTTCAGAAAAGCACACGCAGCAAAGTGGTCTTGGGTTTTTTGCCAGTCCTCACACATTTACACAAGTATAGGTACAGCCCTGTCCTCAGGCAGGCATAACTTTGTACCCATGCAGGAGTGGGTGCCTGGTAAAATGCGTTTTCTTCCGGCATTGCAAGGTCTCTGACTATACCCACGCTGTACTGCCACACTCCAAATTTCATGCTGTGACAGTGATGTTTTTCTTCTGTACCTTTTTCCAGGTCGTCCCTGCGTTGACTGCCATGCGTTTGAGTTCATGCAGAGGGCGTTGCAGGATTTGAAGAAGACAGCGTATAACCTAGACACACGGGTATGTGTTTCTATAGAAATGCTTTCACTTAGCCTTTATCTACAAGTGGCCAGGTCTGCCTGTCTGCGTACAGCAGACATGACATCTCTGCTGACTCACTTCCATTTCAGCAAATAGGATTGCACCAAGTACAGATTATTTTTCACAGGCTAGAGAGGTTCATTAAAGATCATCTAGTCAGAATTCTTGCATAACAGGCTAAAGAATTACCCCAGACAGTCCCTGCATCAAATAGAGATGTAAAGAAGATGCATGAAGGAGTGAAGAACAAGATTTACTCTTTATCTCACAGCATTGCTTCTCAGCTGTGGACTGACTGTTCACTGGGTAGGAGCAGAAACTGAAAGGGAGAGCGAGAAGGTGGCAGGCAGGACTGGCAGAGAGGAAAGGGATGCGCATATATTCCTTGCTCGTGGATCGATACTCCGTGAAAAAGGGGGGAGCATATTTGCTTGAACAGTTATCACAGTGCACAGAGCACTTTGGAACTTCACATGAAGATCTTGTGCTGCAGAGGTCCCAATGAACAATAAATGAGGATGCGTTAAATGCCCTGATTTTAGCAATGCATACACATGTGGGTTCATAACTATGCACAAACACTGGCTGGGGTAGGATTTACCACAGTGGTTCCCATGCTGTCTGAAGTTTGCAAGGGGCAGAAGTACTCTCACCTCTAATAACACCCCTCCTCATGTATGTCTTGCACTACCTCTCCTCCTCTGACAACACCTTTAACACTGGCAACATGACAGTGAAGAAACTTGTGGGGAGTGAAGCCAGATTGCAGTCAAATCTCCCAGCTCCTTTAGGTGGCTGCTTAGTCCCTCTGGCCAGTGCTGTCTCTCTTGGTAGGTGAGAAGGGCTCCTTGTTCCGTGTTCAGACTCTGGCTCAAATTGTCATTCACAGCAGAGTCAACCAAAGAGATGTAAATCAATTATGTGTCTCAAACTATAACAGAAAAGGGCAATTACGTTGCTATGCCTTTGGTTTCTTGTGACCTTGGGCAATCATGTAGGGCCCCACACAATGAAATTGGAGTGACTTTACCTTCCTTGAGCTATCAATAGCAAACTGATTAGGGCAGAACTCTGAGTGCAGTACGGGTTACATTGCAGAAGTTTCCCATGCACTAGCGTAATACTAAATAACTGTTAAGTGGTAGACTGTGAATAGAGGGGCTTTACCTCCAGCAGCTATGCTGTTCTGGTGCATAGCGGGGTTTCACCTGCTTGGATTAGGTTCAGCTGAAGTGTTTTGTACCTACGCATGACACAGCAAGACCATGTGTAATCACAGCTATGTTACTTCTTATACTGTCACCAGGCTTTACATAAGAAGTTAAAGGAGGTACTAAATTTCTGTCTAAGTTGCACTGGGAAGGTTTTTTTGAACGCAATAGAGGCAGCACAATTCCTTAATCTCACTTATAGAGATAGTCATTTGTATCTATGTTGGCTATTCTATTTGGAGGGTGGAGTGAGAATACAACCCATCAGAGAGCAATGCTGTCTTATAAGAGGTGAGGCAGAGTATAAAGGAAGAAGCCGGTCCCAGAGTGCCGCAAGATAAGCTTCTGTTTCTGTGAGGACCTGGACAGGCCTGAGATGCCAAGGCACTGATTCAGACAGCTCACATTATCACAGAACAAGGGGCATAGGAACAGTGCATCACCAAAAGAAACATAACCGGTTATGTGGAACATCACCCATCCTTTGACAACTGTCAGAGTTTAACACTACTAGTAAAGAAAGAGTATATTACTGTCCATCTTTTCCATCCTTTGGATTGAGACTCCAGAGGCCTTTCTGGAAGAGATGCTTTAGTTAAATACAAATTATTGAATGATGCAGAGATACTAAAGTGAAATGCAGCAGCCAGAGCACTACAAATGGCATACTGTGACCTTCTGTTCTTGGAAAGGCACAGTCTCCCTGTCCTTACTCAGCCACTGGTGCTTGCCTCATGCTGACCAACTGTGATTTCTCAAATTTTATACACAAATAACTTCATTCAACATCTCCTGAGTCTTGAAAGTTGTTGTGACAAGGGCAAGCCCCATGCAGGACTGTTCCTATCAGGGACTTCCTAAGCCAATGCCAACAGGGTTGCAATTAATTTTTGTAATTGATGCTTCTCTTTCATAGTCTTTCAGTTTACAATTGAGAGCTCCCAGAGCTGCTCTTCCTGCCTGTAAATAGTCATGAGTGATGCCTAGGCAGGGTTTGTGGTAACAGTGACAGCTTGTTGGCATTACAGTGAAATCCAATAAGCCTGTTTGATGTTAAGATGATTCTATGATTTCTACTGGGCTCCCAACAATGAGAGCATTCACTCATCCAGGATTGCATTACACAAGCGAGGAACGGTGTTTAATAACGCTTGCCATTGCACTAAGAGGATAAGTGAGAACAGACAAGGAAAGTGAACAAGACCTCTTTAATGCAAAGGTGGATGTCAAAAGTTTGAGTTGAAAAGGATAGAGGGCTGTGGAGGGGAGGGAAAAGCAGCTCTGAAACAGCCTCTCCCTGCAAAAGCTTGCAGGCTGAGAACAAGACATGAGTAGTAGAGAGTGGAAACTGCTGGGGGACAGAGGTATTGCTGGCCAAGGAAGGCAGACCTTAGCGGAGCAGGTCCCCGGGTAGAACTGCCCAGCTACTCCTTTGGAAACTGTGTGTCTTTGTTAATTAGCCCTCTGCTGTTTCTAATTTGTCAGGAAGCATCATGTCAGAAGAACACCAGCAGGCTGAAGATCTTGTTGTTTCACAGAGCTTTTAGATAATTTCTCAAGCAGTGGTTTTAAACATATAGTGGGTTTTTTCAGTGCAGATGGGAAACCTATTCATGATGAATTTAAGCCTGGTAACATTTTTTTCCCCTCAAGAAAATCTTCAAAGTCAGTCTACAAACTAGTTAAGCAACCACAGGGTGAAAAACCACAAGATATGCTCAGAAAGAAGTTTCTCTGCAGTCACAGTTGCACTTGCTAATGTGAGTTGCTGGCATCAACAATTTTATTTCAAGTCTTGCAAGAGTCTCAGCTTCAGAAATGATGGTGCCATTTGAGAAACTCAGCCTTTTTTTCTCAAAGAGTGAGACTAGGACCCACAAAAGATTTAAGTTACTTGGTTGCAATTAAATAAATGATACTTAAATATCTTTGAGGATCTGAAGTTGATTTTTTTTTCCTGGATACAGAGAAAAAAGCTTGAAAATGCTTTTCCGCTAAGACAGTACAAAAACAAGAGCAAGTAATTTAAAATGATGCATATAGAGAATGATTTTTAAGCTTTTGATGGAGTTCTGGGGGCATGGCTCCAAATGGAGTTGATAATAGGGCAACTGTCAGTAAGTTAACTCAGATTAAAATAGGAGCCACAAACTCAAGTCTAGATCTGCCCTGAAAGATTACAAGTTTCAGACAACAAGGTTAGACTGACAGCTGGATTGAACTCAGAGTTATTCTAGAGAAACAGCAGTGTAACTGAGAGCACAACTGGCTCCTCAGCACATGCTATCTGGCGCAATTAAATTATACAGTACTGAAGACATTGTCAACAGGAAGCCATCAATCACTGCAAAGGAATTAAGTACAGTGCAGTTGAAAGTGGAATTTGGCTCAGCATTTATAAAGGACACTTTAATAATTTTGACAGCTTACTCCCTAGAAGTTAACTGTGAAATGAAAACATTTAAACTATAAAAATACTCTCCATGCATCTCAGTTCTGAATATACTTATTTCATCACTTTTTCTGGATGAAAACCAGCACTAATAACTATGACTTTTGACTCAGCAAAGCACCTTGACTACAGCTGTGCGAAGAGATCAGGTCTAATAAATGATATACTCTTTTAAAGCAATATATTCAGTGCTTTGATTTCTTTTTTTTTTTTTTTTCTTCAGACAGAAACCCTCCTCCTGAGAGCAGAAAAGAGAGGCCTGTGTGATTGCTTTCGTGCGATACACTGAAATGAGCACTGGGATTTGGCCAATGGACGTTTATTAATTTTTAAAATGCTGTTCAATAAATTACAGGAAGACACAGAGTGCAAGTTGTGCCACACCACAAGGAAAATAATTTTTATCCAAACAGGTATAGCTCAGTTAGATAATTTTTGCTTTGATGTGTTTTATCATTACTGTATGCGATATTGCATCTGCTGAAATGTCAACAGAAGAAACAGTGCCGAAGTCTCACTCATGGGTTTTATGTAAGGATAGCATCTCGCTTTTCTGGTATTTCAAGCCAAAAATTGTCCTTGGACTCTCAGGCCAACCCCTCAGCACATGTGAATTGCCATAGACTTGTGAAAGTCAGAGAAGTCACGTTGTTTAATATATTTATGGTAGAATGTGTCACTAACATGAAAAGGAAGCGAGTTTGCAGTGATACATAGCTAAACATTTACAAACAAGCAGTCATGGCTTTATATAGAAATTAATAGTTGTCACTGACTGCTTGGCAGTGCAAGGAGGGTATTTGTTCCCAGTTGTATCAATAGTCCAGTGCACAGCAAACACAGTAATCTGTATCACAATTTTCATTTCTTCAGAGCCACACAGTAGCTGGGATCTTTTTGGAGAGATTATTAAGTATCTAATGTCATCAGTAACATTTGTAATCACATGAATACTGCCTGGCAATTGAACTGATTGCGTCTGCCAAAATCTTCTAGAGAAGTGTCTTTCATTAAGCAAATCATATATTGGATTGAACCACTCAAACTGGCCTCTACAGAGAGTTTTGGCAGAGAGCCTACAGAACGCCTGCATGCCCAGGAGTCTCCCGCAAACTGTATTTTCAGAAATATTTAAGTTCTTCTAAAATGGGCCATAGCTCTTGCCTGGACTTTACACTCCATAGTGGTGGGTTACAGTGCTGATACTATTAAGATTCCTGTTCCAGTCAGCGCGAGACAATTTAGGCAGTGTAGTAGTAGGAGGAGGTAAGATTGCACCTTGTTGCTCTTTGAAAAAGAATAGCAAATCCTTTTTTTTTTTTTTTTTTCATTTTTTTCCTTTGTTTAGGGAGGGGGAGAGCAGAAAAGGGTCCCAGCAGAAAATTTTTGTAGATAGTAATAGATTTTTTTTGTAGGGCTTAAAATATCATCCACAAAGTATAATTAATAGAGATTTGTACATCAGCTAGAGCATCTGTGTACAGGCTAGAAACTTTAACACAAACAATAGTATGGGAGCAGGATCAACAGCAGTGGTTTTCAAAGTCATTTTACAGATTCTTATTAATATGTCTGTCTTCCCATAGGTGGCTGATACTATGCTGTCAGGCTGCTCAGTAAGTTATGATGGTAGTTATCTGTGTGCTTGTTTCTGAGCTGCTTCTCTCCCATTTTATCTACCACAATAGGAACAGGGAAATAGGGAACAGTGACCCACTGCCAACTTATTATTTTGTGTGCAGTCATACTCAATAACACAAAGGAGTGTATTACCATATACTCTGCCAAAGTTGTCTGAAAGGCACGTGGTTCTAAGCAAGGAAAAGCTTCCTTGCACCTGCATTTCAAGTAGGAAATTTGCTTTGTCCTTTGTAGTATCCTAGAAAAACCCTTTATAGGTCATCAGGACCTAGGTTGTATAAAAGAGAAGCAGCATGACACAGCAACACATTGCTTCTAGTAACATTACACTCCACTGTACCACTGGTAACTGACTGACGGGAAGCAACAGAGGTTCTTATCATAGACTATATTTTATTTTACAGATAAGACAATAGGTTTAACACAACTCCTTTGCAAAACGCCAACCCTAGTTTACTTTTCTCCCACTTAGACTTGAACCAAAGTAATACACAGATTTTGAGGTGGCTTTTTACAGGAGGTGGAGTTCCAGCACTGAACCTGTGAATTTTCCAGCACAGCTCACCTTTTCAGGGGGCAGCACGTCTATGGTTTTGTATTGCTATTGTGCATGCTTATTCTGCTGGTACCTTAAAGAATCTTGCAAACTCCTGTTAGCAAGCACTGTTTTTTTTGGCTGTGTTTTTATTTAGAAAAATGGTTGCTCACAGTTGAGTTTTGATATACGCAGCTTGTTACAGTGAAAAGGTGGAATGAATGACAAGTGGATGTTCTCTGGCCCCCAAAGGGATCAGAGTGACACTGCAACTTTACGGCTGTGATGGCAGTGATTATTCTGTATGTACTCCTCTTTGTCTATAACACAATACAATAAAAAGGCAAGATGCATTACAGTATTGGTGTGCTTTGTTACTGATCTGAAAAATGATAGTGCTTATGCATTAATAATCATCTAGTCTTTAATTAGGTGGAAAATCCACAGGGAAAGA